ACAAGTAGTCAGCCATCACTACATGCCAGTTCATATTACTATCAACTGGAATGAAATACTAGAAATTTGAAGAACTTGTTGCGATGTGTTTGTAAAGCCTATAGACAGCAAGTACTACTCTGAAAACTAAGGATTGCTCGTTAAGAAAAATAAAACAGCCAAGATTGTGAAATGAGCTACTGTATGAATGCATTTCATCTCAATACTTGCCTTCTTTCCTTTTGGGGGAAGGCCTTTAGCTTTCAACAGAGCTCGAAGCCTCTCTACAGTCAAGCTCTGTAAGTCCCTTTCCCTTGTAGAAGTCTGACTGTTTGACCCCTCTGCAAATTGGAAAGCCAAAAAAGGACAAGGAGTGACTTAAATATCATCCATGGCAGACCACAGAAATATGCAGAGCAATACATATCTAAAATTCAGCTTAATTAATATATGGAAACCACAAACCAACAGGTTTTTGGTAGGTGAATTTTCATCTGTGAACTAGGATTTACAAGTACATAGACAAGAACAAAGGCTGCACTCCATGTTTAGGCAAGATAAACACAAAATTTGAAAAATAAAGTTGACACAGCATTGAATGATTACAATTAATGTACCAGTATGCATGATATGCTAACCGGCGTAACAACTAGCCTTCAAGGACAAAGGGCACACCATGCACAGAGCTAAACAAAGACAAGTATTGACTGGCTAACATTAAAAAACCTTTTCTAACAACAATTCTAAACAAACAGATCCACACATGGAAACAGATTAACGCACATAGCAAACATGACTACTCGATATAATGTATGTTCTGAAGTTTAAATTGTATTTCAATATTCTACAAAGTAGCCGGCAATCGTGCTTGAGAGGTGTCATGTCCTGACATCATTATGTACCAGACAGAAATAATACCTCAACTTTGGGATGCATCCACAGGAAATTGGGAATAAAAATGTCATTTTCTAAAAGACATGATGAGCTAATAATCTCAGTGTCAATAAATAAATAAATAATCATTTCCATTATTAAGAAACGCAGGTGATCAGAAAAAAGTGCATTAATGTGACTGAGAAGTGTAGTAACACATACATAAACTAAAACCAAATATAAATACTATGACCATATGAATTCACCTTGTCTAGAGTTCACTTGACTATTCATTCTCTTTGCAGAAGCTCTGGTATCTAGAATCTTCTCACCACCCCTGATTAAAGATGAGCGAGACAACTCAAAATCACTTGACTAAGATAAAATATACACTCAATAATTGTGAAGATGTAAACAAATGTTCACATGAAGGACAATATGTAGTAGGACAAAATTATCAAGAAAGATGTTTGCGGAGGAGAGTAAATGCAGATATTGCCATTGAAAAACTTGTCTATAGATCATATCATATTATTTCATTACAAAATCACATTTTCATCAAAAAAGTGGGACTGATACCTCTTCCTTGAGCCCTCAGTTCCCTCCTTTGAACAGGAGTCCCCTTTGTGTTTCTTCAGCGTGAGTGATCTAATCAGTATGTTTTGTTGATTTGTCTTAACATATTGGTCCTCTGGATATGCAACAGAGTCAGAAGTTTTACCAAGCAACAACTATCTACACCAGAAAACATTTAAATTTTGTAGAAATGCACAGAATAGATAGCTAGCATATATAGGATGAAACCCAAGTTTAAAAGCACAAATAGTGACAGATTTACCAAGCATTGTAGGATAAATAACAATAGCAACTGACATGGAGAACAAAAATCAATAGTGTAAAAAGTGTATATGTATTTTACCTTGAGAAATCTAAGACAATGAATTTCGGCATGCTTAACAGAGACAAATTATACTTTAAGATTGCAATATTACACTTCATTATTATCTGCAAAGTAAATTGCCCCAAAAATTGCACCTTCTGATATCAAAAGCCTTGAAAATCTTTTGTATAGTATAAACAACCTACAATTTCACATAGTAAGTTTGCTATGTATGTGAGCACTTTTCAGGATTAAATTGATCCCTTGTCTATTGATATGCCAACAACATAGAAGGGCTCAGGCAACAAAGCATGTGTTAAAGTCTACCATCTCAAAGTAGATGCCATAATGGACTCAAAAAGATTTCAATAAAATGGTAACATTCATCAGCAGGGCATGTTATAAGTAAAAGAGAAGCACCTGAACCTGATCAAGTATAACGTTCCTTATGGGTGCTAGAAAGACAAGTGTAGAAAACTCATGAGCTATATGTATCATAAAATATCAATTATGGAATCTTGAGGCCAACTTCTGAAATAGGAAAAACTTATGTTTTAAAAAATAAGCGGCTATTTCATTTGCCACGTTATGCATTAGAAGCTAGATCAGACAACATGCCAAAATACTTCAAGAAGAATGCACGAGCAGACCTGGTGGACAGGTATCATGATCACAAATATAAACCCGCATACCACCCTGCATAGTTATTTGCCAAACAGGATTAGGTCAAATTCAAACAACAACATATGACATCAGGGTTATCATGATAGTACACGAAGATTCAATTTACCGTAGACAATCTCCACAAATAAGTGGATAAAATATGTTAGAAAGTCAATAAACGCAATTATTGCCACTTGATTCCGGGTAATGTGCGTATAGAAAAATCAGAATAAACTTATCACAAAGTAATCGCATCATTGGAAGTAAAGAGTACATGAAAAACAAGGTTTCTGCCATATTCCAGGAGTTAGAAAAGCATTAATGAGAAATTGCATCCGCAATATTACCACACCCAAGTTTATGTGCCTATTTCCTTAGCATAAATTAACATCTCAATCTTTCCCAAGCCATAAACCATTTACGGGAGTTATGCTACAGAACATTCTTCAGTGTTGTTGAGTTATATGCCAGTATAAATCAGAGTGACTTATAAAACCGCTCTGGATAAAAAAGAATGAACAATTGAGAGAAAACTCCCAATTTCTTCCTAGGAAAAATGGTTAGTGAACGGATACAACTACCCCTGTGATTAATAAGAACTAGAGCAATTGTCACTGTAAAAAAATACTACTTACAACATCTAATGTAAAACAAATCAAAGGGGCCTTCGCCACACCAGAAGACACGTGGCATACTTCTGCCAATTTTTCCAGAAAAGACACAATCCTCTTTCATATCCTATAAATTAACAGCACCCCGTGTTCCCATTATAAAAATACCTATGAAAGTTCGACACTGTGAATTCCAAGGCCTTTCACTTGACATAACACAGTGTTCTGACGGCGCCGCAGTCCTAATATCTCTCGCGAAATGCCAATGCCGTCTCCAAGATGCCTAAAATCCATTGTAATACTAAAGTAAAAATGGAATAACATCAGTGCTGCACCCTATCAAAAACACAAAGCATCCAAATTCCGAACTACATCCGATTATTGATATTAGATCAGTTGGCTTCGCTAATTAAGATGAACAAACAAGAAATTTAAGTGAAATAAAGTACCGCAGGCATATAATCCAATAAATAAACACTGCAAAAACCGAAAAGACAAAATATTACCGGATTCGAAGAAATGACGGTGGATGAGAAGAGGCCTCGAGAGGGAAGATTGGAGAGGAACTCCGAAGGGGCGGATGGAGATGGATTTGTATCGGAAGAGTGAGAAGACAAGCCCTCCATTGAGGAACCAAAGAAGAAACCCTCAAAGTGAAACACAAAGCGAGCAAGAGGAAAGAGCGGATGAAGGTCTTCGAACCGAGTAGTTAATAGTGACTGCTGGCGCTCACGACCCCGTAAGCTGAGGTTCTGTGCTAGATTTACGGAAAGGGCAACTCGTCAAAAATTTTTGGACTCCCCGCGGACCAGATCCCTACTCAAGTACTGTCCTTTCGCTCCCAACCCCAATAATGGGTTCTGGATTTCTTTACTTTTCCAGTGTGACATACGGTCAAGTTCTTATCTTGCACTGGTATTTCGTGCGCAAAACAAAAATTATATGAAAAGTATTTTTACTTTGAACGTTAATTAATTAATTAATTTTATAGCAATAAAAAATTGTTGATAAATGCTCTCTCTCTCTCTCTCTATATATATATATAAACAGAATGCTTGTATGAACAATGGAAGTAGGATTTTTGCAATTTTGTGCTTATGATTTTAATTCTCGTTCAGAAAAGGAGGTATTTTGAGTTACTTGTGATATTAGTACATCAAAAGAGATGTATTTATATGTTTTATTTTGATTAGATATAATCAACTGTAAGACATTAACATCTTATAATTTCTAAAGGATCATTATATGTGTATATTTAATTGGAATACATTATAACGTAGATTGTTGATAAAAAACATAATGGTATATTAATGCATGAAATGATTTATAAAATCTTACTTTCTAGCTCACTATTTCACACATGCATATATATATATATATATATATATAGATATATGTATAATCTCCGTTTACTAGTGGCTGTATTCCAAAAGTATGGATGCTGTTTAAGGATGTTATTTAAGAACAGTTTTTCCTTCACGGTATTCTTCTACAAGAAAGTTTTAAATCTGGTCAAAAAAATACAAGAAAGTTTTAAATAAACTGTGGGATATGAAGCACAACCAGAACTCAAGCACGGGGAGATTATAATCAAACAATATATTTTTTTATAGGTAGGAAATACTGGTACGAACGCAAAACAAAAGAAACTAAATACTATATACGTACTATATATACACACACATATATACTCCTTTGGTCATTAACATAGAACTTAATTATTGAGTTGAATTTAATCTCTTACATTTACCAGTTTTTCTTAAATTACCCTTATAGATACTCTTTCAATCATAACTGAATAAGAGAGGAGAAGGATAATAAAGAAGATGATTATAATGTTTTAACAAAAACATGCCCTATTTCTTATAATTAACTAACTTATCTAACTTTGTTAATCTAATCAAATTAGTTATATAGGTCTTCTCTTAAAGATTGGAAGAGTATTAAATAGATAGATAGACAGGTTTACATTTTTGCAGATTCAAACAGTGGAATTTGATCACCATGCAATTCAAAAGCATTCTGGATCACTTTGGATAACTTTTTCAGTCCAATCCAAAAGGTTCAATCATACTTTACTTCCCAATTCTCTGCGGCACATTCCCTCACTTCTGCTCTCTTTAAAGTGGTTCATTCATTAGGTCGATGCACAAGGCTTTGACCACGCAAATAATATTGGACATTTCAGCTCTCCAACCCAATCCTTGTTGTCAGCATCCATCACTTCATTAAATTCTTCCCACCATTACCATAAATATCCACGTGAGCAGCAGGTGCAGGTTGGAGATGGCATTGTGCTTCTGCCTTTCATTCAGAAGATAAGGAGAAAATAAGTCAGTGGGAAAATGGTTGCGGGATTCTATCTCAACCTCCTGATCTTGAACTTTCTCTCTTATTTTCCTTCAATAACACGCACCAGAAAAAAGTGCAAAAACTCCCAACACCCTTGCTCTTAAAATAAGAAATCATGATACTACAGCATTCCATAAATAAGCATCCAAGCCAACCAATTAAGTCACCTATCAAAGCCTTTAAAATGTGTGAAACTGATCTAGGGAGAATCGGGACGATAACAATCACATTAACAACAAGTAAAGAACACAAAATGTACACCACAATACGACAACATTATCCCTACAAAGTGAACCTGTCTGCTGATGTCCATGAATGCTGTATCCCATCAACAGTCACCACAGACTCAAAATGGTGTTTCAGAAGCAGATTTGACAGGACCTTCAATGTTCCTCTGATTTTTTAGACGCCCGGCTTCTCTTTTCCTCAATGCCGGATTGAGAAAATCTTTTTCGAATAACCTCCAAAACATCTTCTACTTTCACTCCTTTAATTGCCTGCAAAACCATGGCATGATATAGTAAATCTGCCATCTCTGAGGCAGCTCGTGACTTGTCCTCGTTGTTCTCGAGTGTTTGGCACAACTCATCGGCCTCCTCTCTGTCAGTACAAGTTATGGTTACAACCTAAAGGTACAGGTTCTATGTGTTTGATCAGTCTAGACTCTTCAAGCAAGTGGAATTTATCAATTTATGAGAAAAATTAAGTATAAAGAAAACCATCATACAAAAGCAATTTCACAACATGGTCAGAAATATTTTCCATGTCAACAGAATAACATGATTGAATTACAAATACCTTACCGGATTTTAGAGCACAGCAAATTATGGTCCAGCAGCAATCGCTTTGTCCATGAAGGCTTTCCAGTTTCTCCTTCTGCTAACTCTGCTTCGCGCTGGGAGATTGTTGACTCTAATGCATACAATGAGGTTAAAGCCAATCTACTTCCTTTGGCCTATCACAGATAACTCAAATCAGTGAATCACTCAAACAATAAGAAATTTAATGATTGATTGATTGAAGCTAACCTCTTGCTCTTTTAACAAGTCAAAGACTGACGTATAATAGCATGTCTCTGACCCAGTATGACAGGTTGGCCCATCTGGCTTCCCAAGGTATATAATCTAAAACAGAATTATTACAAGAGAAAAGCAATTACATTTCGTTGGAAATACTAAAGGCAAAATAAAACAATTCAGTATGAAGAGGAAAACAGGGTCTTACAGAATCACGATCACAGTCAAGGAAGACATCAAGAACATTAATGAAATTATTAGAGGTCTCTCCCTTTGTCCATAATGTTGACCGTGAGCGGCTATAGAATGTTGCCTTGCGAGAGGATATGGTTGCAGCGAGAGCATCTCTATTGGCAAAGCCTTGCATGAGTATGGCTCCTGTGTCCACGTTTTGAGCTATTGCCACCGCCAAACCTTTGCTGTCCCATTTCACGCTGTCTAGAAGTGATTCAACCTGAAATAAGCATAACCTGTAAGAATGTTTCAAACCACAATCACATCTACAGGAAAATTACTGCTATCACTTGATAAATACTAGCTAAAGTAGGATAATTTTTACCAGTTGACTCAACCACTAGGCCACCTCGCACAATCTTATGTATTACAAAACTGGATGCAGAATCAACTCACACAAGTGCGACATAACAATATTAGGAAGTACAAAGACAAGAACACCTGTGATAAATAGTCAACCCCTTTTCAATAATATCCTGCAGCTTTAGCTTATATAGAGACAACAATTAATCAGTAAAACATTAGTTGAGAAGCTCAAGTTTCAACTCGATTTTTTTTTCCCGGTTTACAGCCATACCTTTATGGCTATACCTATGATTGTGTGAAGAGAGAAAAATCTAAATTTTAATAGATTATTTCTTATGATGTATTTTGAGATGTGAACAGTAAACTTATATGCTATTTTTGCAACTGCAATTTAAGATTATTTTCAGCAAAAAGAGGTTGGCTTCCTCGATAAAGAACAGTAAACTGGGGTGAATAAGCCGGGTTTCTTATTTTCTCAACAGCTCCCTCGAGCAATTTCCCAGCTAGGCTCCTAAGTCAACAGACTCCTTTTCATTGTACTTCATTTTTATGATTCCATCCTCACATCATGATGTCTATGGAACATTGATGAAAAATGTTGGATCACAAACTTCGTAAGGCTGTTTTCAGTAATCCTTAAAAGCCCATTAATGAATATTCAACTTCAACAACTGAAATAGGGCTAGAAGAATCAAATTACTATTTTATGCCACCCAAAAACAGAAGATGGGAAATGTGTATATTATAATTTCTGTTTCAATGCATATTGATGAATCACTTGAAAGTAACATTTGTAATATAAGGGATTCAAGAACAATAATAATGATGTATTTTATGTTAATGATAGTGCAGTAAACAAGAATTTGTGCAACATGGTTCATACATAGATTCAATAAAGGGTCAAGCTACCTGATATATTTGTAAATACCTTGGGGTCGATGGAAATGTTTCTCTCTGATTGCTGGATTGAGGCAAAAGCTACATGAGGACGTCCCCTCTTACCATTGTATTTGCCGCAGTCATAGCGCGAAAGATACAGATTGCTCTTGCGCAAAACGGTTGCAGATTGAATCATGTGAGCATATGGAGCAGCCATTTAAACACACAGGCAAATTCACACACACTGACACTTGCAGCCTTTGCAATTGGAAATAATCAGCCTCCCAGAATCAAGAATCGAGCGAACAGAGCTCAAAGATCCCTGGGTCCAATTCAGTGAAGCCGATCTGAATTCATTTTTTTGATACAAGCCGATCTGAATTATTAATCACAGCGCCTTTCACCCCGAGAAGAAGAAACGAACGATCCAGCCCGTACATACTGGGCTTATCCAGTATGAAAGGCCCCCAAATTGGGCCTGTATAGTATGGAAGGCCTTCATTTGTAGTGGATTAATTGAAACGGACAACACAAAATAATGGCAACAGTGGCTATTGACCAAAACGGCGCGAAACTAGCAACGCCCGGTCAGTTAACAACTTAACATTCCTGTAGTTTAGGGACATGAAGTTTCTTATAAGCATACAGGACGTGTAGTATTCTCTAAAAATATTTTCTGTAATTTTTTTTTTGGCTTAGTCAGTATATTATTCCGCGCAACCGATTTAACTATAGATGTCTATGTTGCATAAAATATAATTTCGAAGGTCCGGCAAAAAAATTCAAAGAAATGCATTTCAAAAAAGAAAGAAACTTTTAACTATTTAGTGTTTCAGTCTCTAAAATCTTACAAATAATGTTTTAATTTAAAAATTAAAAAATGGATAATCTGAATTAAAATAAACAAGGGTAGAAATTAGTGAAAGAATGGGTATGCAATGATTAAGCACCAACGCTGTATGTATATCCATATGCTGCATTTTTTCATTTTTTTTTTTTTTGAGCTGAATGCATGTGCTGCATTTTAGAATAGCATTTTTAACCACACTTTTTTGGAGGCAAAATGGGCTTAAAGCCTAAGAAATTTTTGTTACCCCAAGGCCCAAAGACAATTTGAACCCATTGTCGAGCCTTCACTCTGCGGCCAGCGAGAACCAGGGTGCGTGGCCGGCGTAAGGCGAACGAACGGCGGTTGACGGAGTCGGCGCGGGGAACTCGTCCTTAGTAGCGGCGTCGTCATTTGAAGGGTGGGTGTTTTCTTCTCCACGTTATCTGTAATGTCGTTGGTAGGGGATCTGCGTTCTATGGAGCAGATATTTCCCTGAGCGTTTGTTCCCTGATAAATTTGCCATGATGGGTTTGCTTTGATCATAGGTTACAAAATAACTGAAAATTTTAATTATTTTAGTAATAAGTGATTGTCCCAAGATTAGAAGAATACGCACGTCTCCTAACCGACTTCTTTTGTATCTCGGTTCCCCTCCCTCCTCCTCCGAAGTTGCCTTTTGCACCGCAAAACACCTAGAGGCTCGACAGTGACAGTGACGCAAGAATCAATACAGCTTTGTCTTCTGCATCCCATTGGGAGTTCTGAGTACTGAATCTTTGTTTTCTCTTTTACTTGTCTAATCATCCGAGAAAGGTGCGCAAAGTTTATTTTTGCTTTAGAGACTTGGGATTTTGCGCTTGTTTTAGAACTCTGAAGGTTAGAAGCATTCAAAATATAGCTCATATCAGCCAAGCTTGATTGCGTCGGGTTCTTATTCCATTTTTAATATTTTCAGTCCTATGAACCTTCGAAAGACTTGCATTCATTTACGACGCATTGTTTCCTTTTTATCGCAATCAGTTACTGCACCCATGTATTTAAACAAGCACTTTTTTCGCACCTTTAACTTGGATAATCTTACTGTGTCTGCCTTTCGTCTCTGACATTTGCACCTCTTGCGAAGATCTCATATCTGTTGCTTTGTTTATTTTAATGTGCAACTTTTGATTAACCTTTTTATCACTGACGGGTATTTTGCATTATAAAGCCGCTCCTTTAGTTTTTCTTGACCTTTCAATTTATTTAAGTCTTATTTCTGGTCTTTTATGCACTGCATGCAGCGGAGATGGGGAATGATGACAGCTTGAACGCATGGGTATCGGACCAGCTCATGTCACTACTGGGATATTCTCAGCCCACTATTATACAATACGTTATTGGACTATGTAATTCATACCAAACCACTTTCCATACTTTTAATTTCTTCTATATTATCTCTAAAACTCTTTTTGGAAAATGTATATTTTGCCTGGGTCTCATGTGAAATATTTTGGAAATATATTATTGTGGTTGCAGCAAAGCAAGCTACTTCACCAGCTGATGTAGTGGGCAAATTGGTTGAGTTTGGATGCTCATCAACGGGTGAGACTCGTGCATTTGCTGAAGAGATTTTTGCAAGAGTTCCTCGCAGATCATCTGGTTTAAATGTTAGTTGTTTTAGCTGTGATCTGGTTTAAATGTTAGTTGTTTTATCTGTGATCTGGTTTAAATGTTAGTTGTGGCGCAGCGATCAGATAGTTATACATATAGATTTACCATCATAATATCTTTTATCCTTTAAAACTGACATCTCATATCTTTGTTGCTTTGCTATGCTGCTTGTATTATATGCCAGATTTATCAGAAACAAGAGAGAGAAGCTGCAATGCTGGTTAGAAAGCAAAAGACTTACTCAATTTTGGATGCTGATGATGACGAGGAAGATGAATCTTCCATGCGAACTGCTTCTGAGTCCAGAAAGACTGAAGGTCGGAAAAAACGGTTCAGGAAAAAAAATGAAGTGGACAATGATGAAGATGATGAGGCAAAGTTCTTGTGACCTAAAATTTTACTTTCATTTTCTTTTGTCATGGGAAGCTGCCAATTAATGGCTCTTCTTAGAGCATTTGACTTTGTTTTGACGAAATGGAAACCTGCAGGTGATTGCAAGGGAGGAAAAGGAGAGACAAGTGAAGAGGCGAATTTCACCAGATGCAGATGATGGTTCAGAGGTACTTTTTTGTGTGTATAGATGTGTGTTAATGCACTAAATAGCTTTCTAGATAATATGTATGAGATATATATGCTAGTTTCTACTTATTATAATTTGTGCAATCAGTTGGATTTATGTGTATGCTCAAAATTGGATTTTGCTCAATGTGTATGCTCAAAATTGGATTTTGCTTAAGGTCTATAATTAATGGATTCAACTTTGCATTCATCTCAGCTGTTCTCCCATTGGTTAACTAGACCCCTTGCTAGGTGATACTTTGATCCATACGTGCAATAATGCTGGTGAGACTATTATTGTCGTTCAGAAATACGAGTTAGGGAGGCTTGGTCTTGTTGTTTATTCTCGCCATGTCCCTTGTTGAGATGTTGTTTTCTCATGTGATGCCTTAATACATAAGTTTTAGATGAACGTTATCCTAATCTAATGTTGATGTAGTATCAGAGGAAGAAATTTATTATATTATCTTTTTTTAGTTAATCACTTATAATTAGTAATATAGAGTTTGTAATTGACGGGGATCCTTTTGGGTTTGTTTTATGATTAACATGGGCCTGAAGAAATGTAATCCCTTAGTAGCATCTTCACAGGTTGAGGTCTATTATTCCATTTGGTTGTTGTTAGGTTCTCTTGTTTTGGATTTCTTTGCATTCTACCATTAATATCACTCCTGATTAACATATTATTTTAAGTATTTTATAGCACAGTCATAGTTTTTGTTTTTTCTTGTTTGGATTCCTTCGACATTAAACAGTCACATGTTTTCCTTATCTGTCATCGTCTTTTGTGATTGCTTGTTCATGTGGAAACAGTCAGAAGAAGAAAGGTTACGTGACCAAAAAGAAAGGGAGGAATTGGAGCAACACATAAGAGAACGAGATGCAGCAGGGACACGGAAGGTACTTGTGTATATTCAAGCTACTTTTTCTCTTCCTCTTGCTTCAATTGCTGGTGTCTGGTCTGCTTAGAGTTCATTTTTTCCTAATCTGTGTTATTTTGGATGGAGGCTGTAAAATTATCATTTTATGGAGTCAAACAACATTAATGATCTTGTTCTTTGTTGAGAAGGATATGAATAAGTTGGTGTCTGAGTTACTGGCTACATGAATTGACTTTGGCTACTAAGGCCTTACTTTTGGTCCCCCACCCCCCCAAAGTTGTTGCGCCTATTATGTTTTGTCAAGTTAATTTTTAAGAAAAAAACATTATATTATACGATTTTATGTGTATGATTAATTTGGCTTGGATCTGACTCAGAAACTAGCCGTGTTAGTGCAGAAAATTTTCTTGGTTCAGCTATTACCAGGCCTTGGCTTTCTTAATTCTCTGTTTCATATCTTCATCTTTTTTCTCTTTTCCTTGCAGTTAACTGAGCAAAAATTAACACGAAAGGAGGAAGGTATAGGCATTTCTGTATCACTTTATTTCCATACCTAAAGTATGCACGTAAGCTTGCATTCATATTTATGTGAATTTGTATGTTGGTTTTTTTGAGCTTTCCTCATTCTTTCTTGCAACAGAGGAGGCAAAACGAAGAGCTAATGCTGCAGAGCAGAATGGTATTCAAAGTCTAAGGTTTGTTGTATACTTTTTTATTTCATTGTTGATGTGCTACGTGTTTTATTTATATACTCGGGAAGTCTTCGTTTTATAGCTGTACTGGTCAATGCCTTGGTAGTTGATGGCCCAGGTCTTTGGAAAAATGCGTTCCTTTTATATAAGCCATCTAGTCTGTAATTTCTCTTGTATTTCTGAAATTTTCTTTAATGATAAAAGCATCTCAGATGGTGTAAAGAAGTTTTTTAAGTAGGCCCTTGTTCATTAGAGGTTAGGTTAATCTGCAATTTTTCATGAGCATGTAGAGAGACAGTTGGGAACATTCTCAATAGGCCCTTTTCCTTAAAACATGCTCACATTATACTGCATCGAATTTACTATTATATTTCTATTGAGAATGTTCAGTTATACTACCCTGTGCTTCATACCCCTTAGAATTCCAATTTGGATCCCCTCAACTGAGGCACATTAACCATCGTATTATGATCCAATGGTGTTGAAGTAAAGACCTTGGTTTATCTTTCGACCAAAAAAAAAAAAAACAAAAAACAAAAAACAAAACAGGCATGTAACTCTCCCTGAACGCCACTAGTTCACAATCTGATGGTTAATATCCTTTAATTAAGGCTTATTTGAAGAAATATCGATTAAGGGAATCCAAATCCCAAAATTCCTTTCATTAAAGAAGGGAAGAGGGAAAATCTAAGGAATTTCTCCTCAATGTGGTTTATTTTTCCCTTGAATTAAAGGGGTAGGCATTAACGGCTTAAAATTACGAGCGGAATTGAACCGGTAGCCTCCCACTTATAGAGGAGTATCCATGCCGCTAGGCTACAAGGCCTTCAACATTAATATCTAGTTATCTGTCAATGGAAATTCCTTAGTTGAGTGATTTTGTGGTATTCATGATAGTTATTCTTATCCTTCAAATAGCAATGACTCCTTCAATAAACCATTCTACCTTGTATTGTATACACGCAATGGCAAGGACTAGAGAACATCACTATCCATCCCAATAAAAGGAGATTGAAAGATAATAAAGGAGGATGATAAATGAAATGGACAATCAAGCTGCACCTTAGACTTATCTTGAGCATCATTTTTCAAAAAATCATGTTATAGATTTTCTCTTTCTTATGAAACACCCTTATTTATGCATAAACCAGCTTTTTTTTTTAATGGATTTTTACATGTGATTTCTTACTGGCTCATACATATTCGAATTTGCAAAATCTGCTGTCTATATTCTTTGTCATACACGGAATAAATTTTTGATTGCTTATGAAAGGGGCCAAAGTTAAGAAATATTTCGTGACACTTCCTGTTTTATGCTCTTGGTTCAGAAAGGTTTCAAGGCAAGAATACTTGAAGAAAAGGGAGCAAAAGAAGTTAGATGAACTGAGGTATGGTCCTGCTCCATTGTCTTATTTCTTGGTAGTTCTAGATTTTTCAGTCTCCACAGTGGAATAATCGATTGTTGGCTTTTCTAAGTAAACTGCTTTATATGCTATAATTGAGTTATTTTCTATGATTGGATACGTCTTTACAATATAACATGTTTTGTCTCAGAGATGATATAGAAGATGAGCAATATCTATTTGAAGGGGTGAAGCTTACAGAAGCAGAATACCGTGAGTTCAGGTAATCTATCTCTTCATTAAGGTTTTCTGGCTCAATTTTTTTTTATTGGTTACTGAGAGGCGATTTTTTCCCCTTTTGAAAGGTAACATGTGGTCTGGACATCACTCTTTCGTCAATTTTTTTTTTTTTTTGCCAATGTTAACAACTGATTGATAGCTTAAGATATTCAGAGAAAATGTGAGAATGAGTTTCTTGTCATCATTGTACAAGAAAACGTTTGTCACTTTGCACGTGCTCTTTTTTCCTTCAAACAAGTTTAGGCCATGTGCCATATCTACGTCACCAAGTAACTAGCTCCTTTATGCTCATATGAAGTTGCATGTTCAACTTGTTTGTTTAGGATTTGCACTTGCATTTGTTGTATTCTGCTTATGCATGTAAAGATTATACCCCCCCCCCAAAAAAAAGTAGGAGTGCTTGCAAATATGTGCTCTATTGTCTTGAATTTAGGAAAAGTCTCAGTTCGTTCTTGTTCCCAGGTACAAGAAAGAGATATATGATCTCATAAAGAAGCGGTCGATGGAGGAAGATGATGTGAATGAGGTAATAATAAGTTTATAACTTTGTAAGTCTCAATTGGCAGGTCAAATTTCAGCTATTTATTCATTGTTAATGTTTACTGAAATATAACTTCTGAATTTCAAACTGTTTTACAATTATTTTCTTTTCGTTTGGCTTTGCGAATGCTTTCTATTGACTAGAATTAAGTAATGCTAAGACTATTTCATCAGTTGAGTTTAACTTCTTGGCAGGATCGTCATCATATATGTGGAATTTTGAATCCAAAATAATGTATAATTGCCATTCTTCTTGCAAATTGTACTCTTTTTTTTTTTTTTTTTTAAAATTGTGTTCTTACAAAATTTTATCTCCCTTGTGAAGCATTGCACGGGGTAAAATCTAGTGTCCCCCCCCCGGGGGGGTCTTTTGATATTCTCAAAACTGGATCTAGATGGTCTTGCCTTCATGGTGTCATTTTTTGCGTAGAGGTGTTTGAGTTAATTACAAAGGTTACTTCAAGGTGACTGAAAGTAGATTATGAATTGTTCAGAGGGAAGAATTGATATTGTCATATTGGTACTGGTAGGCTGGAGCATCAGTTTACGAATTACAAATTTCACTTGGTCATACTACCTTATTATTTATCGAAGTTAGGGAGGAAAAGCAATTCATGAAATATGTAAATCTGCAGTCCTTGTAAACGAATTTTGATGAGTGAAGATTGGAATATCTGTATACTTCGTATTGTTACTTGTAAACTTAAAGTTGTTTTTATGACCTCATTAAACTCACCCATGTCCTTCTGGGAGTGCAGTATAGGATGCCTGAAGCTTATGATCAGGAAGGGGTTGTTGATCAAGAAAAGAGATTTGCTGTGGCTCTGCAGCGCTACAGGTTAATTTTGCCTCTCATTAGGATAGGTATTGGTGTTTCAGTTTAACTTATGACCGTGATTTCAAATTCTAAGAAATATGGAAAAGGATAGATTGATATCTCAATTACAGTTTTACCATATTAATCAGAAACTATAATGTCCCGTATTTCCTCAGATTTTCTTTTGACGTGATCTGACATGGATTAAATTTCTAACAGTACCTAATCTTTCATTTTATCATTTATAGGGATCCAAATGCTGAGGAGAAAATGAACCCATTTGCTGAACAAGAAGCATGGGAGGAGCATCAAATTGGTATATTTTTCCTGATGCTTTATCATATTTTGCTGTGTACTCCAAATAAGTTTTCAGTTAATTTTTTTATATCATTCTGTACATGCATCTAATTTGTGTTTTTCAGGGAAGGCAACGTTGAAGTTTGGTTCTAAAAATAAAAAACAAGCATCTGATGACTATCAGTAAGTTGATTATATAGATTTATTTTGATAGTAGTTTTATTTTAGAGATTATATAGTAATTTGCTGCACTTGCTCATTGGATGGAATTTTAGTATATACTTCCAATTCCAATGTTAATGATATGAATGTGTGGTAATCATGTGATTGATTGGATCACTCCTTATTTGATTGTGCAAAACTACAGATGAGCAATTGTATTTTATGTTCAGGTTTGTGTTTGAGGACCAGATAGATTTTATCAAAGCATCAGTGATGGATGGAGATGAGGTATGTCAATCACTAGTTGATGCATGCTATATTCTGCGTAATTATTCTTGTGTTTGAGACGGTTTCTCTTTGCAGTTTGATAATGAGATGACAGATTCACTTGAAAAGTCCAAGGCCAAGACAGCGTCAGAGGCACTTCAGGTAGTATTCTATTAGTGACATTGAGAAGTTTTGAAAGCTTGGGCCGGCATTTTTCTCCTTTGATACCAGTATGCCCCAAAGAATCCCAATGCATTAGTTTCAGCTACTGACCATCTTAAGCAAAAAATTTTAGGAGTGGATATTGGAAAGTCCACAAATTTAATATTCTTTGTATCTTATGTCAACTGGAAAGATTGAGTGATGAAATAATCTCATTGATCATGTAAAAATTGGGATGTTTGCCATTTACATATCAAATTTCTAAGCTGGGTTAATAGAAAAACATCAGCCTGCAATCTTATGGGCAGTTTCCTCACTCGTAATTGTCTTTTATTCAGGAAGACAGGAAAGCATTACCCATCTATGCATTTCGGGATGACTTGATCCAAGCTGTTCATGAACACCAGGCATGGCTTATTTTCACTCTTTTTTAATTCCTTTTCTTTTCATATTTCCTTATCCACTCTACTACTAGATAGAGTATGACTCAGATCTCTTATTCATTGTAAAAACATGTGCTAAATTTCTTTTTTTTTTTTTTACTAAAATTTTTAATTCCTTTTCTGAGTTGTTGGATATGAAGGTATTTTAGTTAAGAGAAAAATATGCATTTATGTTAATGGAGGGTATTTGAATAAAATGGCTTTTAAATTGGACTGAAGTATAGCAGAACTTTTGGTTTCAAGAAAAGGGAGCAATATATTTTAAAAATGGGTGTTCATGTGATTTTAGTGAAGCACAAAGGATGTTTTAAGTGTAGATGCCGATGAATACATATATATGTGTATATATATTGTATTATTTAGGGTTATTGGTACAAAAAATATGCAATTCTCCTAACAAGCACAAGCATAACATCAGGGATATACAGGACAGAAAAGGATCCTGGAGATATTTGACCATTTACATAATATTACCTCGAATCCTTAATATAAGTCCGAGTTGATTAATTTGTGGAGATTAAGGAAGCTAAATAAATTCTTTAAAGTATTTATGTTTTTCTTTTTTCTCCAAACTAATTTGCCTAACTTATAAACCGATGTATAATTTTATAATACATATAAGTATTTTAAAAAGATCATGTAGCATGTTATAATTAAGTAATTTTTTAACTTTCTTAATCTCTTCAAATTAGTTAACTGGATCTTATATTAAAGACCGGAAGTAGTATTAATTATTCAGATTTCCCACAGATTTGTGTAATTTATTCTACAAATTAAGAAACCCTGGATTTTATGGCTTTTTTTTTCAAGGGATTAGTTTAATTTTGTTCTCCTAGTTTGCACTTCGTTTGTGTCACCTGTGAACATTATTGTATTCTTTTCTTCCACAGTACTTGCAATGTATGATCTGACAAAGAACCATGATTAACTCCTTTGAATAGGTACTTGTGATCGTTGGTGAAACTGGTTCTGGAAAGACTACCCAGATACCTCAGTATCTTCATGAAGCTGGGTACACAAAGCATGGGAAGGTATCATTTCATTATTTACTTAGTTTGTAACGTGCTAAAATTCATTGGTGGGCTTTCTGTGATGTTTTAGTAGCAATTTTTATTGTGTGCAAACTGTTTTAGCATTATGTGGTTGTCACTCGCTTGTAAACTTGTATTTTGTTGTTTATGTCGTGTTTGTCAACTTTTGTTTGTAAATTTGGGAACAATTAGCTGCCTGTATATTTTATGATGATGAGTGTCATAAGATTATTTTAATTGTATCATTCAATGTTTAATAATGCAAATTGTAGCAACTTCTGCTCTCCTTCCTAAGTTATTGCAACCTTTTTTAGGTGTTGGTAGAATTAAATGGAGTTCTGCTGTTTCTGCTGGTTTTATTAAAGCTTGCTAACTTGTTTAGCTTTTTAACAGATTGCATGTACTCAGCCTCGACGTGTTGCTGCTATGAGTGTTGCTGCTCGAGTCTCTCAGGAGATGGGTGTGAAGTTAGGACATGAGGTAGGATCCCTTCATCATTACAATTGGTAACTATTTTAATAGAACATTTGCTGTTGTAAGGGTTACTTGTGACTCATGTTTGGGTCGCGGAGCTAATGTTTGCGGTCATCTGGGAGAAACAACCATGTCTTTAAGAATTTTTTATTTATTTATAAACTGTCGATGTCTTCATTGTGCAAGCTTTCATTATTCGATTGCTTTAATCTTTGAAGGTTGGTTACTCCATTCGTTTTGAGGACTGCACCTCTGAGAAGACTATTCTTAAATATATGACAGATGGAATGCTATTGAGAGAATTTCTTGGTGAACCTGATCTAAACAGCTACAGGTGAGCTTGTACTTTCGAGTTGGGTCCTGATTCAGTTGATGCAGTACAATTTTTCTCAAATTTTGTTCGTGAAATGTTTGCAGTGTTGTGATGGTGGATGAGGCTCATGAAAGAACACTATCAACTGATATTTTGTTTGGATTGGTAAAGGTGAGCAGAAATTATTTTCTGGATCCAAAATATAATGTCTTTTATCATTCTAGTGGGTGAGTGGACAATTGGGTGGGTTTTTTCCTGAACAATGAGCATCCCAACTCATTTTCATGCGAGTTGAAGCATATAACTGCTTACATTTATTATCTTCGTTATGTATAACAAATCTGTTATAATCAGACTTTTGCAATGATTTGCCCAGCTATGTTTGGGACAGTGCTGGCATGTAGTTTTTTGTGCGATTGTTGTGCTATGATTCTTATGTGGATGCCTTCCTCTTTATAACCCATCAGAGCAAGATACTTATGTTCTCTGTTTTTATTGCCTAGGATATTGCTCGTTTTCGGCCTGATCTTAAGTTGCTGATTTCAAGTGCCACACTAGATGCAGAGAAGTTCAGTGATTATTTCGATTCTGCTCCCATATTCAAAATTCCTGGGAGAAGATATCCTGTTGAAATACACTATACCAAGGCACCAGAAGCTGACTATTTAGATGCTGCTATTGTAACAGCTCTCCAAATCCATGTAACTCAACCTCCTGGAGACATACTCGTGTTCTTAACTGGTCAAGAAGAAATTGAAACAGCTGAAGAGATCATGAAGCATCGAACTAGAGGTCTGGGGACTAAAATTGCTGAGCTAATTATCTGTCCTATATACGCAAACCTACCAACTGAGCTGCAAGCTAAGATATTTGAACCAACTCCTGAAGGAGCACGGAAGGTAGTCCTTGCTACTAATATCGCCGAAACATCATTGACAATTGATGGGATCAAGTACGTTATTGATCCTGGGTTCTGTAAGATGAAAAGTTATAATCCAAGAACAGGAATGGAATCTTTGTTGATAACGCCAATTTCAAAAGCCTCAGCAAATCAAAGAGCTGGTCGCTCTGGAAGAACAGGCCCTGGAAAGTGCTTTCGGTTGTATACTGCATACAATTATTACCATGATTTAGATGACAACACTGTACCAGAAATACAACGGACTAATCTTGCAAATGTAGTTCTGACTTTGAAAAGCCTTGGGATTCATGACTTACTGCACTTTGATTTTATGGATCCTCCACCTGCTGAGGCTTTATTGAAAGCACTGGAGCTTCTATTTGCATTAAGCGCATTGAATAAGCTTGGTGAGTTAACAAAGGTAGGTAGGAGGATGGCAGAGTTTCCCGTTGACCCCATGTTATCTAAAATGATAGTGGCTTCAGACAAGTACAAGTGTTCAGAGGAGATCATTTCTATTGCCGCTATGCTCTCTATTGGGAACTCAGTATTTTACCGTCCAAAGGATAAACAAGTACACGCAGATAATGCACGGCTGAATTTCCACACTGGAAATGTTGGAGATCATATTGCACTACTAAAGGTTTAATTATTTGAGAATTAGCCCCTTGACTGTTTCCATAGTTAGACGCCTAATTTTAACTGCTTAGGCATTTGGTTTTACCTTATGTTTATGTTCATTTATTGGAAAGCTTTTCTGTTCAGGTATACAATTCATGGAAGGAGACCAATTATTCGACACAGTGGTGTTACGAAAATTATATACAGGTACTTCACATCAATTTGCAAGTTAGCTTGTTACATCTATATTTAGTGGAAATATGTATGGATTTAGCTTGGCCAAATATTTGATGTTGGTGATCTCATATTCAATGCCAAAATAAGCATCCGTAGTTCAACCAACCAAAAAAAAAAAAAAAGCAGCAGTAGATCGTAATCCTATTGGAGCATGTTTTATGGACATAATTAATTGGATACTAGTATCTTTAGTGCTGCCAATGTATAAGGTTTCCTGCACAAGCAATGTAATTGGTGATCGCACTATCACAGATGCTGTTACCTGTCTTCTTTGCTTGATTTGGAATGTTGATGAATTTTTCTTTTATGAATTTTTTCTGATGTGCAGGTGAGGAGTATGAAACGGGCTAGGGATATCCGAGATCAACTTGCAGGCCTTCTGGAGAGGGTTGAAATTGAACCAACTTCAAATGAAGGTGATCTGGATGCCATTAAAAAATCTATAACATCTGGTAAGCTAACAATAGTAGTACTTATGCACTCTTTTTCTTAGCCTGCTTAATCTAACTTTAATCTCTGCAGGCTTTTTCCCACATTCCGCGAGGCTGCAAAAGAATGGATCTTATCGGACAGTGAAACATCCGCAGACTGTTCATATACATCCTAGTTCTGGACTGTCTCAGGTACTTAACAGCTGTAAGCTGTCGATGACTCACATTATCTGTTTCTCCAATGAATTGTTTCCTTCCTTCTGCAATAATTTGGAAAAAATTTTGCGTGGAAGATTTCTTGTGAACTAAGCGGGTCGAGTGCAAGACAAACTAAAATGTAAACCCTGAAAGTGGCCTCAGTGCAATTTCAATAGAAATTTTACTTCTATAACAAGTTATTAAATCTATTATCATGCAGATTATCTGATAACTCTTACATAGCTAATTAATATTGTCACTAAGCTATTAAAAACTGGACTGTTCAACGCACTAATTCTAGGTTTAATGGTCAGACTATGGTTGAAACAATGGTATTAAGGCTCCGTTTGGGTGACACCCCATGGTTTGGGACCCAAACATGGTTTGGGTGATAAGTCACCCAAACACCCACTGGTTTTGGGCAAACCGTGGTTTTGGGTCAAAACCATGGTTTTGACTCCAAAACCATGGTTTTGGAAAAAGCAGAAATTTTTTACTTTTGGAGAGAAAAAGGAGAGTGTGAGAGCCTATATGATATGTATCTTGTTATTTTTTTATAAACATATTTTTTTATAAACATATTTAATCTTATATTTTATAAATATATATACATATTAATTATTTATTAATTATATTATCTTATGTATTATTATTATGTTGGTAAAAATATATTATTAATAATTTTATTCCTTCAAATTAAAATATATCATAAAATCTATTTTTCTGTAATTATCATATTAACTTATGTCTTTTTTTTTAGTAATTTGTATATATAAAAAGTGCTTCTGATAACAACTATCCAAACACTCTCACTTCTCAGAATCACTTTTTTACAAAATCTATTCTTCACAGAATCTATTCTCCTCAGAATCTATTCTCCAGAATCACTTTTTCAAACCACGGTTTGATTTCATCCAAACACACCCTAAATTGGTATACTTTACCACTGAGCACTTGGATCAACTGATAAGAGTTGTTCCAGTTTAACCAAAAGTCACGGGTTCAATCTTTTGGAAACGCAGCGGTGTAGGTGGTAGCATCGCTACCTATATGGGTCCTACCATGGCCAATCTGGATTAGCCTGTAATTCCTTGAGTGGTTGGCCAGGATACCAAGTGAATACACACAAAAAAAAAAGGTATATTTTTTTCTTTTTTTATTTTATTTTACATATGAAAATATTATAATATTCCAACAACTAAGTACCTTGTAAGTTCCGTTATTGATGAAGGTTAATCAGCATTAAAATCACTTTGTTAAGATGTTTGCATCGCAATCTTGCCTAATCGATGCTTGAGCTTGCTCATGTGGAACATTCCTGAGGACCTTGTTCTACTCAATTTGAAGCTTCCTTCAGCGACTATTTGAAACAATTGAAGAATCTTTTATGTTGCTTAGACATGGACATGCAAAACACAAAGTTAGGACTGCTATGTTCTTGTAACGAATATCTAACTGATACTCTTGTCTGATTGTCATTTATACCTTACATTTCAAAGGTGCTCCCAAGATGGGTTGTATATCATGAACTGGTTCTCACTACCAAGGAGTACATGAGACAGGTAACGCTAGCAGTTAATCAATTCATTGTTCTACTATGACAATTTTGACTCGATAATATTGATTAATAGCTGAAGCCACCTATTAAACTGCAGGTCACGGAACTAAAGCCTGAGTGGTTGGTGGAGATAGCGCCTCACTACTACCAGCTTAAGGATGTTGAAGATGGTATGCACTCTCATACACAATTCTGTTTTATTTCTGCAAAGAGTAATTATAGTTGTTGAGACCCTTTTGCAAAGAACATAGCCTTTAGCTCAGTTATGTGAATAAAATATCTTAAAAATTGATACTTCATTAGCATGCAACAAGCTGAGCAAGTTTGTGATGAGTGGTGACTGTTGTAGATGATGTTCCCTTACACTGTACTGGGGTCATTCCAATTCGGGTTTTATACGTTGCCAGTCTGGTCGTTGTAGTTGATACTGTTCCAGAAAGTTATCCCTTTTAACATTGAATCTCATCTAAAATAAAATTCTGCCCTTGTCCTAGAATGTGACGTCATAAAAGCTCGTTGCTTGACTGTTTGTAATAAAGCTTAAGATTTGAATTCAGTCATAGGTGGTAATTGTCCATCACAGCGGTCCATCTACAAGTCACAGAGCAATGAAATGTTGTGTTTTGGATTGTGCAGCCTGAAACGTTCATTTAATTGCAAATTGATGTTTGTGATGGACACTCATTATTTGTCTCTAATATGATGAATTAGTTTCCGTGTGGGAATTCGTTCAATCACCATATAACATATCAATGAGTTTTAGTTTATTTTAGCTGAACAAAATTATTTGTGGCAGCTACTTCCAAGAAAATGCCTCGGGGAACAGGACGAGCGTGATCGGACAGACAGCTGACAAATTTCTGCTGACTCGTTGGGAAGATTAATGAACATCATCAGGTGGATATGAAAACTGAGAAGTGTTCCTTACCGTCGGGACAAAGCAGTGTAAATAACATTTTGCAGGTTTAGAATAACAGTATTCACATTGTGTAAAAGAAAAAACAAAAATAACAGTGTCATTCTATATCTTTTAATTGATATTGTACAAGTACACCCCCGCTTGCGCCATTTCTTGACGGGGGTGTGCCTAGCGAGCTCAGGGGAGGTGGCTTTTGCCTTGTAGTTAGTTGTATGATGTGAAATATGGCCTTTCTTTTTGGGTTTTAGTTTCAATATGTAACTATGTAATCATAAAGTGTTGCTGAAATGGGTTTATTTATTCGACGAGGTTGTGTAAGTTCGTTGGATTTTGCAAATACTCCCTTCGGTCCTTGACGAGTTTTTAATCAGTTCATGTGATAAGAAAAATGGTTAAATGCTAGTTAAAGCCTTTTAATTGTCATAAAATTGAAGTAATTTTCAATGTTATTTCTATTGGTGTTGCTGAATCTTGTAATCATATTAATTTATACCCTTTCTTGTTCCTGCTGCAGCACAGGTTTTAATGAGAGCTTATATCAAAGAATACCTATTTAATGTTCCAATAAACTTATAGAAAGGACTAATCAAAGGCACAAGTGATGAGCAAAAATGAAGGGCATAAAGTGAGCAATCTCTGTTGGCTTAAAGGCTGCAAGATTACAATGTACATTAGAACCACCGGTAGATCAATAACTCTTAATAGCTAAGTTAGGCCACAATATGAGGGGGTGGTGGCTGGATAGATGGATGTGGATTTAAATGTTAGATTTAAAATCTTTTATTTGGACAGTATAAAAATTCAGACCAATAAAAATGACTTGTTCTATTCATATGACTTGTCAAAATCTTTGGGTACCATTGAAAAATGATGGTTGAAATTTGAAATCATTAGAGTAAATTAGTTGAAATTCTAAAGGAATTGTACTGAAAATTTTGCTTGGATTTTGATCAAATCCAAATTTTTGTGGATTCAAATATTAGATTTAGTCCAAATCCAAATAACCACTAATCCATACATAACACAGGTTTTTTTAATCCACAATCTCAAATTATAGGGGATGCGGGTGATGAAAAGATTAGCATACTTGATTGTATTTTTTTATTAAAAGATAATTTATTACAATTATAATATTAAAATATATATTTATATAACAACATAAAATTGAGTTTTAACAGCAAAGGAAAAGGAAGCTAATCAGAAAAATGCAGATTACTATAAGTTCATAATCAAAACTAAGAAACTTGCACAGATTCAAAACTATACGAAAATTAAAAACATGGTCACTACTTAATTGTACCATTTTTTTTATAAAAAAAAGTTTAGCTGAGTTTGGTTCTGAAACTCACTAAGTTCAGAGAGCGCTTACAAAGATACTTATAAATCGCCCACCAATAAAATCTTTATATCAATAGTAGTACTCGAACTCATGATCTTATGGGTTAGGAGGTGACTCCTTAATTAAACGGACTCTTGTTAGTTACTTAATTGTACTTAGCTATTCTTTTTTCAATATATGCTAGGTACAATTACTATTCCTTTAGTGTTGGCGTAAGCCCTTGACAAATTACTGTTTTGTAAATTGTCGCGTACACGTAATGGGGTCAACTTATTTTTATTTAAAAATTAGGCTCATTTTCTTTTGAAATTTTCTTTAAAATTGAATTATAGTTATGCAATTAAATAGACAAAGTTTTTTAATGATTACTATTTGAAATAAATATTGTATGGCAATTCAGCTTAAATGATATAATAAAACAGTTTCATACTGAAAGTGGGTGTGTTAATACTTAGTAGACCCCACCACCCATAATAATACTCATTTTAATTTAATTTCCATTCGTTCATTAGACAGACATTTATTGAGGCATCACATGGGCGAAATACATCAAGGGCACCAAAACATGCAACTTACAAGATCCTACTAAAACCAAATATTTCTCACAGACGCATCCCTGTTCTTGCAAAATACTTCATCCTCTCAAAAATAAAATACAGATAGCATTTTCTTCTATGTGGAGATATTTATTTTGATTTTAAATGTAAGACTTAAATTTTGTCTCTTAAATTTATTAAATTTTTTTTTTTCGTAAACCCTCCTTATTAATGACACATTGAGGGATTTTTCCTAAAATAATAAATATGATAAATAAAGTGAGAACTAAAATCAATATCCTAATTGACCTGTAAATTGGAATTTGAGAAGTTATATACTCATCCTAATATAGACCCATTTAACTAATTTGATTAGATCAAGGAAGTTAGGTAAATTAGTTAATTATAAGAAATGTGACACATTTTCCTAAAATACCATAATCATCTAATACTCATTTTCCTACTTGATTATGTTGAAGGAGTATCCATAAGGGTATTTTAGAGAAAATTGATAAATATGGAAATGGTCTTATTTAGGACCAAACTAACCACTAATGGGTCCTATATTAAGGACCGGAGTATTTAATACTACAGCAATAATAAGTATTATCTCACTACATAGTATTAATGTTTTTCTTCTTTTTGTAGTAATGTGAGGCTGATAATTTCTTAAACTCTGAAAACTGCATGGCCGCATCTAAATAACTCATCAAGAGGGCAGGGGAGTTGACCATGATGGTCCACAAATTTCCAACGCCATGATATACAAAATTCAGACGGCAGAGTGATCTATCTAAACAAACAGAAACATATTAATTATGAGATTTATTTTTACATACTACTCCGGTACTTGATATAGGACCTCGTTTTTTTATTTTGATCTTAAATATAAGACTCCAATCCATTTTGTCTTTAATATTCATGCGTTTTTTTTTAAGATGGCCCTTCTAATAATAGTAGTTTTAGCCAATACACTTGATCAGCAAAAATATTTTAGAAAAAACAACACCTATTTATGACAAATAAATTTAACTTCTTTTTATTAATCTTTTCAAATTAGTCAACTAGTTCTTATAATTATGATCGAAGGTAATATTTATTTTTCAATATCATATCCACTTGCTCGCGGAAATGTGGATTTTTTTTCCTTATATGTAATGCCAAAAAAAAAATCAATAAACTTGGATACTTTGAATCTAATAAATGTACGGCTCATGACGAGGACGGTAACGGAGCGCAAGGCACGTGCCGGCGCATGTTAGTGTAGCACACAATGATGGCCCATAGTAAAATCGGGATGTGGATGATGACTCTAAAATATTACAAAACATGGATATGGATAAGCAATGCGAATAACACGTGGAAATGAAGCCAAGTTTCGTTTGACCCACTAAAGTTCATCACACGTAACGATTAATGTCATCAGAGCCATCAAGTTTCTGAAACGCTCTTAAGTCCACGATGAAAAATTAAAAGTCGACAGATCTAACGGTAAGGGTCTCAGGTATAAAATCGGAGTAGTTACAGTGGAAGTAGATTTTTTTAGTTTCAATGATTTAAGAGACTGTGGTGCTCACTCTTTGTCAGCACTTTGATCACCGAGACAAGGGACGGAGACAAACCAGAGAGAGAGAGAGAGAGAGAGAGAGAGAGTTATGGCGGCTATCGGAGAGAGTCCACGAAGCCCAGAGGCGAAGCTTGGGATGCGAGTGGAGGATCTGTGGGACGTTCAGGAGCCACAGCTAAGTCCCACCGAGAAGCTCAACGCTTGCTTCGAAAGCATCCCTGTGTCTGCTTTCCCTTCAGCTCCTTCAAGTCAAGGTGATGATCGTGTTATTTCGCGCGATCATTTGCTTAGAATGCATGGAATGGCTGAATCGTTCAATGATATTTGATTTCAAATCAATCCAGATGAAAATTCAATATACTGACGATTGACATTTATTTGATCAATTGACTCACTCATCATCTTTATCTTAGCATCTGGTTGCAGTCTGTCATATAACCAATCCCTTTCTTTTCTTATTTTCTTCCTCTGTAATGGGGTTGCGTATGAACATGTAAAATTTCTGTGTTTCAGTGGTGGAGATAAAATCAGACGCCACCCTACCGGAAGCTGTTGAAACACTAGCACACCACAATATTCTGAGCGCACCCGTGGTGGATGTTAAAGCACCTGAAGGTGCTACTTGGATTGACAGATATATCGGAATAGTTGAGTTTGCAGGAATTGTTGTATGGGTCTTGCAACAGGTTAGCATCCCAACTTACTTGCCTGCATGGAATCTGCTGAATTAATGAAGAAATAAATTACATGTACGATAATAAAAATGTGGTTTGCGTAAATTGGCACCAGGTGGTTCTTGTAGTATTTCTCTTTTATGCTTCATGTTTCACCCCAAGCTAACGTAGTAATTGATTTCCATGACAGTCTGAGCCTCTGTCTCCTAAGAGTCCTGCCGGTGGAGATGCTAATGCAGATGCGGCTAATGGGTTCAATTATACTTTAGAACTTGGGGGCTTAGGATTTGGATCTGCTTCAACAACTTCCGGCAACTATTTTGAGGATTTAACGTCTTCTGAATTTTATAAGAATACCAAGGTTATATGGTCCCCTTTTAATGTTCACCAAAAGCTTAGAAATCTTTTAGTTGTTTTGATTTAAGCTTATATCACTAGCTAACTGTTTAGCACACAGGTTTGTGATATTTCAGGATCATTCCGCTGGGCCCCGTTTCTTGCATTGCAAAGATCCAACTCATTTCTGACCATGCTCTTGCTACTTTCCAAGTATAATATGAAGAGTATTCCTGTGGTAGATCTGGGTGCAGAAAAAATTGATAATGTTATCACACAGTCTGGTGTTATTCATATGTTGGCAGAGTGCGTGGGGCTTCAGTGGTTCGAGAGTTGGGGAACCAAGAAACTATCTGAAGTTGGTCTTCCTGTAATGACACCTGACTGTATCATTAAGGTGTGTAACTGTCTTGAGTTGAATTTTTGTTTCAGAGATAATACAAATGGTGAGCCCTTGCAACCCTTATCAAAACATCATGACCAGTCATGCCACACTCTGTAATAATATACCTGCTACAATTGCAAAGATTTAGCTATGATACCACGCAATTATTACTCACATACTGAGATAATCTCCCCCCCCCCCCAAAAAAAAACATCTCACCCGCATATGTTGCATTGCAAAGATACATTAATTAATCTATTATGCTATAAGAAAGCATACCTTACTTGCAGTGGAATTATCTGTTTTTTCTGTTGGCTGGAGCATAATTCTTTGTTACAATGAATCTAATATTGATTTCCATAATCCTAGTACATCTGAAGTAAGCTTTCCCCGATCGACATGTCTTAAACACGAGTTATATACCTCAGTTTATCTGAATATAGCTTTAAACCAAGGCATATTATTTTTCCTTCTCAAGGAGAGTGATAATTGTTGATCTCCTTCACAATGGATGCTTTTTTCTTGTTTGCAGGTTTATGAGGATGAACCAGTGCTTCAGGCATTTAGATTGATGAGGAAAAAGAGGATTGGAGGGTTACCCGTGATAGAAAGGGGCAGCGACAAGGCTGTGGGTAACATAAGCCTACAAGATGTTCAGTTCTTGCTAACTGCTCCAGAAATTTACCACGATTATAGGTTTGACAGCACATCTGATCTCATGGATTTGACTTATTCATCCTGCCTATTGCCATTACCAATCTATAACTTCTTTTGATTTCCTATGTGGCATTCTCATTGGTTGTTTTATAATATGACAGAGCTATTACTGTAAAAGACTTCCTGACGGCAGTTAAAAGCTACTTAAAGAAGCACAAAGAGGTCTTTCCAATGTTAAGCACCTTGGTTACATGCAAAAAGGATTGCACAATCAAAGAATTGATTCAATTGCTTGACCATGAGAAGATTCATAGGGTATATGTTGTAACTGATGATGGTGATCTAGAAGGAGTGATCACACTCAGAGATATCATCTCAAGGCTGGTGGACGAGCCCAGAGGCTATTTTGGTGATTTCTTTGATGGTGTTCTTCCTTTGCCTCCAGACAGCCGGGTTTAACACACTTCAAGAATGAACAGCTTTTCAGTTCTTGATATCTGATTTTCCTTTTTGTGTAGGAATAAAAATAGATTGATCTGTGGCTTCCTAAAAGGGATAGAAGACGGTGGACTTGAGGTGTTTGTGACATGTTCAGTTTGCAAGTTACTTCCTTAAGTCTAACTACAGTATGAAAGTGAGATCGTGTATAATTCTGATGTTTCCATGAAACTATTGAACTGTTTTTTTTTTTTTTTTTGTAAAGTGAGATCCTTCTCAACCGTTTTCTGTATGATTATGCTTTCTTGAGCCATTGAAACCATTTTTCTTGAGAGTCTACTTGGAACAATGTGCGACTTCCCTTTCCACAAAGTACTGGAAATTCAATTCATATTGCGCACGGTTATGTCATTGTTCCAGAGGTGGGATAAGGTTGGTCGGTTCTTGCATCTGTTTTTGTAGGAAAATACATAGCTCCTTTGAAGAATGAGGAACAATGAAATGATTTATCTTGTTATACGTCTTATAAATATTGATGTTTTTATTAATTATACAGGAGAACATGGTAGGGAACTGAGGATGCGACTTCCGACCCAAAAAAAGAACTGAGGAAACTACTTAAAGGACCTATTTCAATAATAATAATAATACTAGTGATAGTAGTAGTAATAATAATAATATCAACGCATCTTGAAGCAATAAACAGAGGTACTTAGCTTCTTTTTTTTTTTTTTGGCCCTTTTGTCCAGTTAGGATATCGTCTACTTATATATATATATGGCTAGCCTTCTTTATTCCTGAAGACAAGATAACATCGCTTGAGTTACTATTTCAATCTATAAATTAACTGTTTTTATGAATTTCATAAGCTAGGATTTATTTTCTTTTATATAGACTATTATTTAATTCATGTTTTTTTATAAAAATTATGTTTTGCAGTTTTCAATGAATATAATTTTAAGTCTCCTCATATTCTATACAAGTTCATCTTAATAGATTTCTATTTTAATTCGTACAAGTAGCTAACGTTTTAGAATTTTCATTATATTACTCATTTAAAAGAATAAGATACATTTGTTTAACTAAATTCACAAGCTAAGTGGTTTTTAAATGGTTAATTGGGAGATAATTATATGTTAGTTTTTTAGATATAATTGTTAATTAATTAATCATAACCTAGATATTATCTAGGTTTTTCTTAACTTAGTAAATTATTTTTATATAAACTCATCATTATTTCGAGCTGTGGTAGTTGCGCATTAATTGCTTTCTTGTTATTTTTATTATTATTTTTTATTTATCTCAATTTATTTTCTTAACAAATCAACCAACTTTCTTTCTGTTCCTTCCTTTTCTTAATTGTGTTTTTCCTTCCTTCTCTTAATTGTGTTTTCCTACATTGAAAAGGATTTCAAAATTTTAATGAAACTTCTCATAGAGAGATATGATATAAGTTGACCTCTATACTATATAAGACAGATTTAGTAATTAGTTTGAAAGCTTATACTACACCAGGCAGAGTGTACTTAAATTTATTGTGAGAATACATATTATTGCAGCATACCACGAGTACAGATTCAGGCTCATTTCAAGTAGCTAAGGTGGTTTTCTCACAACCATCATGCACACAGGCCAACACATCTCTGTAGTCCCTTGATATTGTGAAAGAGTCATACACCTTTCCGTCACTACTTTTCATATACTCCCATAGAAGGTATGAGTGATTGAACGCTGTCAATTTGCCATACCCAAAGTCATGATCTCTGTAAATACTCCAATTAGGGGTCATATTGGTGAAGGCTGACAGGTGGCTTCCCCCTCCTCCAACAACAACATGAATTGTTCCATACACCGTACCAGAATAATGGGACTTCTCAGAATTCACACATTGATTCTGCATTACATACGATTAAATCATTAGAAAACTAGAATGAAATTGACCGTAAGTTCAGCATTGCAGCATTGAGAAAAAGCTAGCGCAAATTCACAGTTTAGGCTTTGAATCGTTAGGCATATTTAGCCTTAGTTCCATAAAGTAAGAAACTTTTTGCACTTCAATCTTTAGAGACAGAGGGTTCACTTGATGAAATAACTAATATGCAGAGTGTTATTTTTAAAAACTAATAACTCGTGCACTCATTAACTTCTAAAAATTTAGACTATGTGGACTGACAATTGGAAGATAAAATTATCATTTATTCATAAAATTAATAATATTGTATCATGGTATGTGAGGCCATTTTATTTACCTGATAGATGGGGCATGATCTTTCATAGTTATGGACGTGGCCATAAAATGCAATGTCTACTTTGTACTTTTGCCAGAGACCCTGCAAGCTTTCCCTTCCCATGGGCTCTTCGAATGAGCCTTCCAAGCCATACCAACTATTGGAGGAATACCCAAGCACACGATGAGCAGAAAAGATCAACCATGGCTGCTTTCGCCTATCTACTGTTGCAAGGCAATGCTCAATAAATTTGTATTGCTCTGATCCTTGTCTCCAGTCATGCTCACTATCAGCTATACAGAACCTAAACATACCGTAATCTACTTTGTACCTGCAAATTTCACCAGTTCTTCTCATATCAGTCCAAATGCATTCCAGATCTTTTCGCTGCAGAAACTACAACACTGATGCTCTTTCTATAACCCAAAAATGCAGATCCCTTAATTTGCATGTGCTCAATTCTATGTTAATTCTGTGAGAGTGAATAAATGTAACTTACCAAAATTTGGCTCTGTTCTCAGCAGGCACATAATACATGGTTTCTGCCGGCACACCGCATTCTCCTCCTGAATCGTCAGTATCATAAAAGGATCCTGAGTTTGGCCAATCACGTTCATGATTTCCACTGCAGAATGAATAAACAAGCTCTGTTTATTCTAATAATAACAGGTAAATTCTGATTTAGATACTAAAAAAAATATCAACATAATTATCAGCGGAAGAAAGTAATGGCAATCAGGTGAACCTTGCGACCATATATGGCACCGCGGATGAAATTGGTGCCACTTGAGCTGTGAATTGGTCCCACTGTGAGATGTATCCATTTGCATATGGCATGTCCCCAATGTGGAAAACAAATTCATAATTATCCAAATCCTTGATGAGCTGGTCAGTAGTGTTCAGTGAACCAGGTTGGTAATTAGCGTATTCGTTTGAACCATCACGTTCAGCCTAAGAGATGTGGAAGAGAAGTAAATACTTTACCATGATACTATTGTGTAAAATTTATAGCGTAAACTTTTATGAAAGAAATGATTCGAAATCAATCCTCTCTGGTGTTGCCATTATGAAGCTAAAAATTCAGAAAATTGAGCAAATGATTGCAGCTACAGATTTTTCTGTCTCATCATAGCTGCAGGAGTATAATGAGCAATCAAGTCCATGTACCATGTGGATGCACCAGATAGTCATGAATTATAAGATCAAAAGTTGAAGTTCAATGACAAAAGTACAAGGAGATTGTGAAATACTGAAATTTATGTAAATAAACTTCACTAGAAAAGTTCAAACTGAAGCTGGTGTGTCTGCTTAACAGAAAAGGAATTTCAACTGTAGATAAGAACAGCATGCATAACGATGTTGAAAGTTTTAGTAAAATTTTCTTACGAAGATTGAAACCATCAATCGTAAAGCAGTTTATCTTGTCAAAACATAAACATGTCCTGCTGTCCATTTACTTTGAGCATTGTCAGAGATGACTATCTTCATCAATGGTTTCTTTACATTTATGAGGTTCTCAGTCATTAATAATATACCTTCCCCATGTCACCAAATATGATGACACGCTGCAATGAGTTCTGTCCAGGAAATGGTGATGCCCTGAACGAGTAAAGCTTGCTCCAGATATAAGATCCATTAGAAAGCAAATGCCCCAATCTGTAAGTGTACCTGAATTTAGGGGGAAAAAAAAAGAGAAAAAGAAAACTCCTTCAGATCAATCACTACCAGCCTCTCGTAGTGTCAGAATTATAATAAAATGATTGTTAAATGCATACACAAAATTTGGCCACAGATCTTTAAGGAAACTTGTGTGAATAAAACCAGGGTCACGCCAGCCAACAGTCCGTGCGGGTGGACCTGTAGAATATCAAAATATCAACGCCATGCAGCACCAATGTAAAATCCCACTCAATCAATAGATCCATTTTGAAAAAATCCAAGAGGTAGCACAATCCCGAGTGTTTCAATGGTTCCTTGTCCAACATGCGTCCATAATAAAAACATAAACCTTTGGGTTTTCAGGAAGCATTTGCTTAACAAACTGTCATCAAATTGTTTAAGGATCGTAATTTTTTTCCTCTGGCAATATGACATGGATAATGGGCATAATAACATGGACCGTGAACCCAGTTCTTATGGTTGGAGCTCATCATCTTTTCATAATTTGCAAACTTCTCCCTTTTGCTTTTTTTTTAAAAAAAAAAATCTTTAATTCATTCTTCTTTTAGTTTTTCTTTTTGCAAGGTTTTCCTCTTGCTTAGTTTGTGCTCCTTGGTATCCTTTTTACAAGGAAGTATAACAGAAGGGTCTTAAGAGAGCATATCTATGCAAATAAAGGACCTTTACTGAAGAATAATTAGACACAACGACATACTGATAATGTAATAAACAATCCAGTGAGGTGCAGTCCCGAGCACAGTTTGAAGAATTCTTACCGCACATGCTGTTGCGAGTGAAAGTCAATGTTCCAGCAGGAGATCGCGTTTTCTTTCCTCCCTCAGGTCCCCACTGAACAAAGGGTACAGCTTCATCTATGTCATATCCACTCGTCCAGGTAACCGTCATCTGCAATGGGGGGAAAATCTCAAAAGGTAGTTCTTGTTGAAGTTCACATTTTCAGCAAACGGAGCCATGTTGACAGAAAGTCAGGATGGTCAGGAATACCATGGTATCAGTTTCAAATGCATAACGTAAGATGACGATGTCTCAACAATACAGTATCTTTTCAGGGTGTGTTATAATTAAGAATATGACAATGAATGTATCAAAATTATAGATCACGAATTTTGGGTTGCTGATGTTTGTTAACTTGATCAATAATCACTAAATCATTTCATATCAGGATAAATAGGAATGGCGAGTACAATTATTTGGGCAAATATAGGACCAAGGATGTCAAGCACGAAGATGAACTTACTTCATCCCAAGATCTCCCTTGTGCAAGGCGTGGATAGACAGGCGCTTTAGGATTGACAAATGATATGTAATTGGAAACTGACACAAGTCTAGGCTGCAATGTTCAAATAATTGTTACTAGTTATCTATGATATAATCATCATCTGCATAATACATATTCTCAACAAAAGCCGGCCTCCTTGATGTCAAGAGCCATGGTCTGATGCACTGAATTTGTGAATGAAAATGCTAGATAAATAATAAAGTAAAAATAAAACGAATTTTCTATGTTTTAACAATAAAATGGAAATTAAACGCAATAGAGAAGATCATAGACGTGTTTGCCAAGAAAAAGAAAAGATAAGATATCAGAGACGCACATTTGAAAGTCCACCGGAAAATAATGCAAATGAGAAATCTGCACGTTGATTGATCAGCTGGAACTTCAAGACAGCTTTCCCTGTTGTTGTATAGTTTGGGTTGGAGTCATTGGCATACTTGTACTGGTCAAGCGTACAAAGATTCAAATCAACCACAGGTTAAAAAAAAAAAAAAAAACCAAAATTGTTACTTTTCAAATCAGATTCACAAGCTAATCTGGCATATAAGTTTATTCAATCTGGTATATATGGCTTACAACATACTCACCTTTATTGGGGCCGTGCATATGAATGGTGCTTCGATCCACTCTCCGTTCTCCGGGGGACAGGTAGCTGAACTGCGATGTATAAAATCACGTTCCCTTTAGTTCCTTTTCAAAGAATACGCTGCTCAGAGTTTGACACTATCATGATAAAAATTGGTCCACACCAGACACCACCATATTGACAGTGACTAGAGAATTCAGAAGTAAAACTACATCGATTTCAAAGCAGAGAAGTGGGTTACTTGAAATTTGCAGGAGAAAATACTCCCACCCAATCATCTTCAGATGGATTAGGGGCATTGAGTTCTATAGTCACCCATTCTGTATCGTCACCCTGCAACCATATGTGACAAGACGCTTTAGAAGTTCTGTAAATATATAGCATGATTTACAACGTTACAAAAAAAAAAAAAAAGTTCCAGAAGGTTAATGGTTTGAAATATCATATTATTCACCAAACCAGTGCGAGAAAAACCTGTTTGTAACGAGTATAATCATTTTCACGCTATACAAGACATAAAAAGCAGCATAAGCTTCGCGATTCCATGTACGTAGTGTTTATCACTTGGAACTTAATCTGCCACTTGACACAATTACTCAAACAGCTAGAAGACTAGAAACTAGAAAGGGTAAACTAATTAAACAAAGATCAAAGACGAGCGAAGTAGTACCTTGAGGCCAAGCAAAGAAGGGTTTGCTTTAATGGTCGCGCGAATGTCGAGCGCAAAAGTGGCCTTGTGAATGGAAATCTTAGACAGTGGCTGCTCCCCGATTACATGATGAACGTGAGCCAAAACGTCGACGTGATTCAGGCTGGCGAAACACAACATCAGCAAAATCATATTCATCAGCTTGAACCAGCGAACCACGTCTGCCATCTTTTGCAGATGGAGATTGATCAGAGGGAATGAAATGACGCTGTGTGGTTAATTAGATATGCCGATTGGATTCTGAGAATTAATCGCAATTGACCTCTCTAGTATCTTCCACTCGCTATCACTACGATGAAAAATCATGGCCTTCATGGCTCGAATTTATAATCTTCAGACCTGGCGCCAAATCTTTTGGGTGGGTTCCAGGGATCCCCTTAGCGTCAGAGACGGTAATAATTTTGCATGAGTGAGCAATTGAAAGTAAATGTATGTTTGCCTTTATCGCAATTCGTATCAGGATTAAAAAGTGATTTAATAGAAATCAAATCATAATTTTAAAATATTTTTACGGTATATGAAGTAAATATATGAAAAAATTATCTCGTTTTACAAAAATAATTTTTTGAAAAGTACTTTTGAGTGCTTCTAAACACCCTTTAGATAGAAATTTAGAATAGTTTATCTTTGTTATTTATTTCTGTTTAGTCCTTTGTATTTTGAAATATTACGGGGGATTCTAAATGATTCTGAAAATAACGTTTTTTTTTTCGCCAAAGAAGTAACGTTTATTTTTAAAAAAATATTGTAACAATAAATCATACTACCTTGTATAAAAGTCAGCTGAGAGTTGAAAACATTAATCTACTTATTACTTTTTATTATTTATTTTTTATTTATTATTTATTGTGTTTTAAACTCAGTGGCAAAAATATTATTATTTTTAAATTAATTTATCTAACTTATAAATTAATCTAATTATAATATAATGGAAATCTTTCTATTTTGAAATATTGCCGGTGGATTCTAAATGATTCTGAAAATAACGTTTATTAATTAAAACATAAGTTAACAGGGGGATTCTAAATTATAAAGTTAGTTGAGAGTTGAAAACATTAATTTACTTAATTTTTTATATTTATTATGTTTTAAACTTACTTGCAAAAAATTGTTATTTTTTAAAACTTATAAATTAATTTAATTATAATATAATTTTATTCAAAACTGTTCTAGGGACGTCATGCCATATTTATTATGATTTATTTATTTATTTATTTTACTTTCTGGATCAACCTAAATTAATTAAGTTGCCGGGTTATTCATTTAATTTTTTTATTGTACTAAATTGTTAATTATTCATTGGGCTTTGGTGTGATCGGTATATGTTTGAAATATTTTTTATTTAAAATATAATTTATTTATTAAAAATAAAATTGAGGTCTGTCTAATAAAACTTTTGTTTTGAAGGGTGAGTTTTTAAAATATAAAACAAGTTTTTACAATTATTTTTTAAAATGACAACGCTGAAGATCTAAAGCCATTTTATTGGATCTTAAAAACTTCTACTCCTCTATCCTGAAAAAAAAAAAAAATAGACCCCTGCCCCCTCTTCTCATTTTCATATCTATTAGTGGATAATTACATTGCTGCCAGAAATGTCACCTTCAACCTCCATCATGTGACTTGATCATCAATATATCATTATCATAAAAAAATATAAAATAATCATATCACATTTTTCACATGTTATGATATTAAATTATTCATTTTGCAATGCACTATTTACCGAAAGAACGTGTTAAAGTTATGATTATTTGAATAACCTAGTTTTTTTTTTTAACCAGAATTTGAATAACCTAGTTTACACCTTACACTCTGATCAGTTTACGTATGTCATTATACCTTTAGGGGAATATGCTTTACATAAAGTGATATTCTTATTCACGACTAAAATAATAATTACTTCATAAGTACGTATCTTTTAGAATACATTATTCGTCACTGATGGTTTCATTTGTTAATATTATATTTCCAATGGTCTTAAACCTGAAACTTAGGTAACTAAATATATAGATTTGAAAAAAAATAGTTAGATTAGTAGTATATAACAGTTTTCCTAAATTACCCTTCTTTTGATAACCTATGTTAGAAATTAACCATATTGATTAGTTGCATGCATTAATAAATAATAATAGGAATAATTTGAAGAAAATTATTTATGAACAAAATAAATTTTTCAAGTAACTTGTATATTTAGAATCAAATGAAATGAGCATACAAGTGCAGGGACTATTATAATATAAGGACAGAAAAATAAAAATATTCCTTGCACGTCTGCTCGTGCTTTTGAAATGAGATTGGTCTGTCTATCGCGTGAAATATTGAATTATTAGTAAAAACAAAACAATCATATGTTGTTTTAAAACCAGCAGCATCATGGGGTTAATTTGTTGGATATTTGTGAAAAATATTAATTATTTCAAAAGGGAGTGTCAAATATTTATAATTAATATTTCGAAACCAGGCCTCCCAATTTTTGCAACTGAGCGTCTTGAACTCAGTTAAGTTATTTTAGGGACCATACAAAGATATTTTCATTAATTTAACTTTTTTAAAATTGGTTTTTCCTATGATGTTTGAAAAATTATTTATTTTTTTCGCTGCGTTAGTCCTTTACATCATTCTCAGACCTTTTTTTTTTTTCTTGTCACGTCCCAGTCATACCCATATATGCATGCAGATACTCCTGTTTTGAATAACTAATTTATAGATAACAAATTGTTAGTTAAAAATAATAAATAATTAGCAATATATCTTTATTTTTAAATATGTTTTTATAATAAATGAAAGAAAATGTATTGGGCAATGTGATAAGAGAGTATGGCAAAGAAGAAGAAATAAATAGTTAAGAACAAAATTGGAAAAAAATATTAAATTTTAAGCCAAGTCAAAGTAAGGTTTATAAAATAAACTACAGTCTTTCTTAAATTTAAAACTTATAAATATGACTGATGATATATATCATCCAGACATAACATATCATCTATCATTTATGTTATTTACAATAAATTTTGTTGCCTCCATGTTTACAATAAATTATACATATTAAATAATATAGGGAAATTTGGGGATAAATCCCCATTTAAAAAGTTAATTGTAGAATGGGATATGAACTTTTGAGATCCTTTTGAAAAATTAAAAAGAGAAATAAAATTACTATAATACCCTTAATAAAATGCAATTAGGATCGAGCATATGCAACTAGAGATGAAAGATGTGCAATTAGGATTAGCGATATGCAATTAGGTCTTATATGTAACTAAGCACACGCAATATACAATTTGGATTGATATGCAATTGAAGATCAAGAACATGTAATTAAGATCAGTGATATGTAACTAGATCTTATACGCAACAAGGAATCCTTGATATGCAATTAAGACCAAGCATATGAAACTCAGGATCAAGGATATGTAATTAGGATTAGTGATATGCAACTAGGCATGCATAATATGCAATTAGAATTAAACATATGCTATCTGGGATAAAAAATACTCCTCCGGTCCTTAATATAGGACCCAATTCTTATGTTGGTTTTGGTCCTAAATATAAGACCCCTTTCTCATATTTATCAATTTTCTCTAAAATACCCTTATGGATACTCCCTCAACCATAATCAAGTAGAAGAGGAAGAAGGGGTATTAAGAAAGATGATTATGGTGTTTTAGGAAAAATGTGGCACTTTTCCTATAATTAACTAACTTACCTAACTTCCTTAATTTAATCAAATTAGTTAAATGGGTCTTATATTAAGGACCGGAGGAGTATGTAATTAGGTTATGTATGCAATTAGACATCATCTATATGTAATTATGATCAAGCATATGCAACCTGAGTTATTTGGTTTGCTTACCCCTCAAACGTATTGTCATTTAAAATCAAATTCCATTCTACAGTTGACTTTTCAAATAGAAATTTATTACATCAGTATATAATAAATCATTATCTTCAAGCAAACTCATTAACATGAAAAGGGTGACTTACAGAAGGGAAAATTCCAAAAAATATGTCTTAAATTTTAAAATCTCAAATCAAAAATTACTGCAAAAATATGTTATTATTTACTTTTTAAATATGGTTAATTGCTATTAAAATGTGGTAAATAAGACTATTTTAAAATTTTAAAATTCAAGAGGTATTTTTGTTTTTTAATTTTACCTCCACAGACCCCGACTGACCATGGCCTAATGTCCATTATTACTTATCATCGGGGCCCATAACGCGAAATCAGCTTGTTTTTGTTCATTTGGACGTGGACCTTTTATTTTTTTAAAAAAAAACCACCCATATTTATCCTTGTTAAAAATAGCTAGCACTTAAAGATTTTTCATCTAACAATATATGTTTTAAATTTTTTTAAAAATCATGTAGTATAATATAATATAATTTAAAGTATGAATATTGTGTGTATTTATGGTAAAGGTAATTAAAAAAATTACACCTACCAATTACTAATCACAAAGACGCAATAAATATTACAACATGAAAAACAAGGTAAATTATAACTTCTAAATAATAACCATTTCCTCTTTCTTCTTCAAAAGTGTTTTTGGAGAACGCTTTTTCATAAATTGAAGTTTTTTTTTACATATTTATTTTGTATATCATAAAATTATTTTTAAAATTATGATTTTTTTCGCATGCAAGCACCCCCAAAAGATCCTTTTTACTTCAACATTAAATTGTGAAAAACAACAACAGCCAATAGTTGTTCCGGACTTTTTTTTCCACTTCAGATAAAATTGACTTGGTGGAGATAAAAAATGAACTACTATCTCTTATTTTTAATATAATAGCTAATTTGATATTTAATTTAATTCTAAATATAAGATCCAATTCATTTTGTCTTTTATATTTATTTATTTTTTTCAAGTTAATCTTTTTAATAGTTGCTCATATTAAACGTTTTATTAAATGACATTTTTAATTGATACACATGATTAACAAAAGTACCTTAAAGAAGATAATATATATTTATTACAAATAATTAATTTAAATAATTTTTTTAATCTATTTAAATCAGTTAGTTAACTCTTATATTAACAGTTAGTAATTAAATTCCTTACTATACATATATAGTACCAGAGTAGCGCAATGTTTAATGCGTGTAAATTTATTAACTAACTAATGAATCAGCAGCATTAATCTCAATCGGGAACAAACAAGAGTTAGTGTTGGTAGGTCTTCCCAAGATAATCAACCAATCATCCTTCAGAAAGCTTTTTCTTTTTCTTGGCCAACTTCTGGAAAGCTATTGAGTCAAATTGTTTCAGAATAA